TTTAAATACCACTCTTCGTTTTATCCTACAGGTTACTCCCCATGTCCTAAATCCCTCATAGTCTATTGGGCAGATATTGAACACAGTGTAACTTTATTACTAATGTTCTTGTGAGATTTAGGTCCTGCATTGTCTTCCAGCAGTCCAGCTTTTTGAAAATTGGAATTAACCTTTGCACACCAGCTTATACATACCTTCAAGGCTAGCCATTGTCGGCTCTGTTTGCTCTTATTACAGGTGTACATGTCAGTTTTTCTCGTGTTTTTTATTAAGATCAGAAAGTTCTTCAAAATTAATTACTTCAGCAAGATTCATACCTTAAATCTTGGGTTATCGGGCCACCTGTGTGTACTCGTCTGTGTAATCCACTGCACTAATAACAGTGGTCTTGGGTGCTAAAAAAGTGTGCTGAACCTTTCAGACAAATGCTGAAAATACCTCCAACATCCCTATGATGGAAATGAAAACAAAATAGACATTTTTAACCTTTAGATAGAAAAGATAAGCAGGTTAAGCTCTTCACTTTTTTTTATTTTATAATTGCACTTATATGAATTATGTATTTGTGCCATGTTCATTTTTAGAGTAAATTAACTTGTTAATGCCAAATTTTGAAGGATGTTTTCATTCTGTCTTTCTCTGACACTTGTTTATATGTGTGAGAGCATTTATTTACATTTATACTGATGTTTTGCTTGAAAGACTTATACGTTTGTCATGAAAGATCAAGGATTTTGAGGTTTTATGTATTATCATGTGAATGTCTTTACCACTGCAGGAGTGAAAAAAACCCAGAACTGTTCAGGTGAACTATATCTAATATTGATGCAGGCAAATTCTGCATGACTAACCTGGAATTCTTCAGAATCTTGTGTTACAAATTTCTGATGGGTAAGCCAACTTGGAAACTATGGGGAAGTAGGCAAAGAAGATTGTTTTAGTACAGAGTTCTAAACAGGTTAGCTATTGTGAGACTTCCCCCTCTACATTTAAAAAACCCAAATGGTCATGTTGCTCATGTATTACACAGTGTGATAGCAAAATACTATTCTGTGTTATGTTTCAGACAGATGTTTAATGTAGATGGTGGCAAAGTAATCTTAATCTGATTTTTCTTTTTGTCTTCTAAATGTAGACAGTGTAAATGTAACTCTTGATGTGTAGATTTCTTTTGTCTTAATTTAGTTTTAGCTATTTCTTAACATTTTAAACACAAACATGATTTTGCCTAGGAAACTTTTAATTCCTTTTCCCTGCCCCAGCACTGGTCTTCTTACTGAAGGGTTTTCTTTCATGACAAGCATTGCTTCTCCTCTGTGGCAATTTTACATAGCTTGTATTGGTAAGCATGTAAAAGGTAGCTTAAATTACAAAGCTGAGGAAAGCCAAGGGTAAGCCGTGATGAGGTCACATAACTGTGAGATGAAAACATTAATGACAAAGGGCTGATTGGTATATATTGTGTATTAAATGCCTACCTCAGAGCTTCTATGTACTGTGCCTGATATTTTATTACATTTGACAACTAAATTTAACTATGATTTTTTTAGCAATTTGATCTGGAGTCTGTTACATTCTTAAAAAGCCAGCAAGACATATGTTCTATGTCTTAAAAGCCAGCAAAAGTGAAAAAAACCTGTAACAGAATCAGAAGTACAGTGACTTTTTACTTAGGATTTGCTTAAATAAGTGTAAACCAAACAGGTTAGTTAGGATTAGAGGCTAAACTTCTGCCAGTTTGCTTAATCTACTTGTCAAATGCTTTTCTTGCTACAGCAACATGTATTTTTAAAGCTTTATTTAATGGCGGCCTGTAGTCTTTATATCAAATAGTATTATGTGCTTCCTTATATACCTAATACAGAACAGAGACATAGCTCTTACAAATGAAGTGGTAAATCCAAAGCCAATTTGAAGAAGATCATTTAATTAGCATCATAATTTTATATATGTTTTTTAGACAAGATTGTTGAGTTAATTGAAAAATGTAAACGCAAATGTAAAATGTTGATGAATTAAGTGATACCTAGCTTAGGTTATGCATCGTAAGCTTTAAGAATTAGTTTGAAATTAGTAAAACACAAAAGCTAATTTAGAGTAAAAGTACAGTACCTGCTAAATAGACTTAGAGGTTCTTTTGGCAGAAGGCCTGTGTAGTTACTATGTTCAGTATTCTTTATGCATATATAACCTGTAGCAGCAGGTGCAGAGTACACATGGCAGCTACTTTTGTATCTGAACACTTGAGAGAAGAGACCACAAATAATAATTTGGGATGAGTGGAGCAAGATTTATTTAACTGTGTTTTAAATGTTTTTTATTACTCTTTATTATAACCTTTTGATGTGTCATCAATTGTTTCAAGAAATGCCAAAGCAAATACGGGAATGAAGGCTGTTGGACTTTATCCACTAGAGTTATTTTTTGTGTCTTGGGATGAATTACTGTTTGTTTTGGGGTACCATTCTACTTTTCTCAATTTACTTTGCTCATGGCTCAGCTAAACATGATGAAACTTTATAAAATGTTATTTGAAGTCTTTCTACTTGTAACTTATTAATCAACTTTCTATAATAGCAGGAGAGAGGAATAAGAAGTTCATTGAGTATAGAGCTCATTAATTAAGGAAAGGAAAGATTCAGGTAAATAGGGTTCACATAAAATTAAGAAAAGGGTTAAGCAAGCATAGAAAATGAGAACTGAAATTGTTAGGGATCACTTAATAGATGTCTAAGGATACTATGTTGATTATGCTTTTGGAAACCAGTGAAGAAAGGGATTAAACTTCACCAGCTTTAGTGATGTAATGATTCCTTTTCTGGGTTAACTGTGTTCCTCTGGACTATGCTTTCTCTGTTCACAGCTCATGATAAAAAAAATGACAACAACACATGGGGAAAATTGAGGTTTCTGTTATTATAGTGAGGTTCAACCAGATACAACCATGGCTGGATATATTTTGAAAAATATTTGGTGTTTTAAAAAGGCCTATACTGTGAAGAAGGCAACAAATTTCTGAATACTTGTTTGAAATAAGTGCCCTCCCTGCTGTTTTAAGAGATTTTTCTGATATTTGCATGGTTAAATTTTATGAGTTCTTTTGTTGAATAACTGTATCTTTTTTTAGAACACAGGAAGTTTCTTATAACTTTGTATAGTAAAACTTAAAGTTGTTCTAAAGTACAAATAAAAAGAAATATCTAGATTGTGAGCTTTAGAATAGAGCAGACTATCTGCTCTATCATTTTTAAGTCTGTTAAGACTTAAGTGTGTAAACCCAACCCTTGCAGAAAGTGGCTGTTCACCAGCAGTCACTTTTTTAATACAAAAGAAAGGGAAGGGGGAAAAGCTCAACCACCCCTTTCATTTGAGGCTTCTTATGATGTTCATAGCTTTCCTTACCAAAAAAAAAATGCCAGCAAAACCAACAACCAAACAAAAATGCATTCATAATTTTCTTCAAAGTTTAATGAAGAATTTCAGGAGACCTTCTTGCAGACCTTCTGTGTTACTGTTTTAATGGCAGCTGAAATACTAACCAAAATGAGAATGGTCCTGTGCTGTCCCTTCTGCCCTGAGAAAGAAAGGAGGTGGAGCGTGGGGAGAGATGGAGCAGGATTCTTTCTGCATTTTGGGAAGAAAGGCTAATTGGCTTAATTGGATTACATTGTTAATTAGACATGATAGGAGGAGGAATCTGATAGTGAGTAAGACACCTTCAAGTGCTGGGCACCCTTCATTAGAGTGGCATCAGACAGTACCCTTGTAGATTTTCTGAGTGCGTGCTGTGTGGAGCAGATACTGTCCTTAGAGAAGCTCTCCCTTTTGGTCATTCAAGCCAGTGTATAACTTCCTGACAAGAAAACAACTCTACTCCTAAAGTGTGTTCTCATGAGGATTCCTTGCTGTTCTTTTAGACATAGGCAAGGTCCTGTGGGTGGTGTGTGTAGTCACCGGTATCAAGGGGGAGCTGTCTGCAGGCCCCTCTGTTATGCTGAGGTGGCTGCTGTTGTCCTGCAGCCAAGGGACACGTGCAGCATAGCACCGACCTGTGGTTACTAGCTCCTCAGCATGAAACAACTCTCCCAGTCAACATCACTACCTTCCACTCCTTTGATTCTCATAAACTTCCCCGAAGGAATCTTAAAAGTTATAGATAACATTAATTACTCCATAGAACAGAGATGACCTGTTCAAGATCACCAGCTCCTTAAATACAGTATCTTCCGCAAGTTCTTGGTACAACATTATTCCAGTAATTATTTCAATTTTGCTTTTGTTGTGTAAAATTATAATATTCCAAAGGAGTTCCTATGTTGTTTGTATTTGGTCACTTTTTCTGGTGAAGTTTTATGAGCTTTTTTTGTATTTCATACTATAAAACAGAGGAAACAAAATATGGAAAGTAAACCAGATAGTAATACTTTTATCATAAGAACAGTGAAGGCATCCAGAGAAGCTGGAAGGCAGGAGGATAAACCCAGCAATTTATATTTTACTCTTTTTGCTCTTCTTGGCCTGAAGACTGTCCTGTGTTTCTTTTACTGATCAGTGGTTCTGGTCTATATGGTATCAGTCAGGACTCTCAGAGCATAAAAAAGAGAGGGAATTAAGATCCTAAAATTGTCTTACTAGATTTGTTTGCCAAGTAAACAACAGTTCTCATTGATGGTGTTATGCTGCATGTCTCTTAGTTTTTAGGAAACCTAACAGGATTCTATTTGGTAAGGCTCCTTATTACTTATATGAATCTTACAAATACATCCTTGCCTTCCAGCTCCTGCTCGTGAACATCCCTCCTGTGTCTCACATCCCTGGTTTAATATCACTTTGCAAATCATTGAACAGGGTCATTCTTCCCTGTCTGGACTTGCATTTTGTGTTTGTTCTTTACATTAAATTCCTGTGTAGCTTACTATTTTATTCTCTGCTATGGTTTACAGAGGAGGTGGTCTATGAATTACATATGACTGCATGCATATGTTGTGGTTATTTTATAGGTGGTGATAAGTGCTCAAAATGGCGATCTCCTCTACCGTATTTCACCTTGGGCCAGATACGTAGTCCGTGATGAAGACAAAGTGAATTATGATTGGGTACACTGGAGTCCGCCACAGTCATATATAGTAAGGCTTAAATATTATGCTCAAAGTGTACAAAGCCATGCATTGTTTTTGAATCCTTGCTTGGAAGATGGGGGGAAGAAGAGTTCCAAAAAAAAAAAAAAAAAAGAAAAGGGTAGCAGGCTAGTTTAAGTACTTATCTGAGAAGTGAAAGGTTTCTTTTCATGGCTTCGACAGAAGCAAGTGACTTTAACGATGGATGGCTTTGGGCTATTTTTCCATCTCCTGTAGAGTATACAAAAAATAGAAAACCTTTAAAGTGGTATTTTAAACTTGGCTTCCCACATGCAAAGCAAGCTCTATAACTACTGCAGAGCTAAGTAGTCCTGCTTAGGACAGAGGAGAGTAGAGGATTATCAATTAATTTTAAGAATTTGTTAGCTGCACATACAAGTGCACAAGTACTCCAGTAATAAGTCAATATCCTTTGAAGTCAGAAAAAGCTTTCGAAAGTAAGGTGCTCACACTCCAGTTAAATCCTAATTTCTTTGTATTGGGAAGATCCATTTTTACTTAAAGCTATCTTCTGATGCACTGCTGTAAGGGAGGAACTCTTCACATGATATATGAAAAATATCCTAGGAAATAATTCAGAAATTTCAGACTGTCCAGTATTACTTAATATTGTTACACTTCTGTTTTCACTAAAAATGATATGCAGTATTCTGTATTAGAGGTGCTGCATCCTCTGTTTTTGGATTAAATTTTGGCACCCATCTAAAATTTCTAAGCATCTGCTTGGCAAAGAAAGGGTAATTCAAATGGAAAATCTCTTTAAAAAATATTACAGAATCTACAGTAGCTTTCTTACTTAGGTGTGTATAGTTTTTATATTAATTTATTGACCTACGTTGTATCTATGATGCTGTGTGACATCCAGATTCCTTATAGGAAAATGACTGGGGATGTTGAAAATGCAGTGATCTGTATGACCTAGAGTGAAAAGGAAGTGAGAAAATTTAGGATGCAGACAAGGCATTACTTGCCTTGTTAAGTGAAAAAATAAATATTTGGTTCCTTTTATGAATAGGAGAGGTGTCCAAAGGATTTAAAATACAGAGAGCGAAACTCAAAGAACTTCTTAATCCTCATGGTCTCCCTTTAATTTCAGTTCACTGTTTGCTTTTTACTGGTTTTGTTCAAACTTTTGAAAACTTTAATATTGAACTAAAAAATAGAATATAAAGTTATGTAAATATTTTTTAATTGGGAGAAGGAGGAAAAGAAAAAATTTGGAGGGAAAGAATAGGCTGAAGTGGTAGTTTTCCGAAGTTTTTTGAAACAAACTTCTGTTTTAAAAAATTAAAATCCCAATCAAGTGTAAGCTCCTTAAGTGTAAGAAAGAGGTTTTGTGTTGGACTTCAGCTGTCACTTCTTGAAATATTTTCAGCTGTCTAGAAATACTGTGTACTCACCTACAAATTTAGGATTTAAAAAAAAAAAATCCCAAGTAATTTGGAATATAGATGAATCTGTACTGTGGAACTGTTCCTCAGGGCTAAAATATTTATACATTTTTGTTTTGAGAAGGGAGAGCAACTTCAAATAGATGCAAAAAAAGCAGATATGCTTAAAAAACAACCCCCCTTCTTTCTGTTACCACCTTTTATTTTCAAGCCAGTTTCGTAGTAGTTAGGAAGAACTTTATGGTATAAGGGTTGCTATAAGTTTGTATGCTTCAGTGTAATTTAAAAGGGTATAAGCAAAGTGAATCATGGATGGCCAGGTTCTTGTTCATGTAGAATTTGCTTTAACAGTTAATTACTTCTGAAATGTTAATGCTTTTAGAGGAAAACCAAAGCAAACCTTAAATTGTTTTTCATCTTGCACAAATTATGAGATGGTGACAAGACGTCCAAGCTGTAGCACACTAATGACAACTGTTTTTTTTTCCTTCTAGCATAAGCATCCTTCCCCCAAGAGATTAAAAAGCCTAAGAATCTATGAATCTCACGTGGGGATTGCTTCCCCAGAAGGAAAAGTAGCTTCTTATAAAAACTTCACATACAATGTACTACCTAGAATAAAGGATCTTGGTAAGTAGTAACAGAGATACTTGCAGAGATAAATTTTTAATGTGTTGGTGCTCATGTAAGAAAATATAATTATCAAGGGTCTATAATTTTTTTTTTTTACATTTTAAGTACATGTACAATAAAAACAGATTCTTAGGGTAGCAAGAATTACAAGTCAAAAGTGTGGAGAAGAAACAAAGACTGAAATAAGATATGTGAATCAAAATCCATTGCACAGATTTTTAAGTAAAATGTGATTGCAAAAGCCTAGATAAATACTTCAGGGCAGTTTGCTTTTGGCATGGTTTGCTTTCAACTTCAAAAAGGACCCATTTTTGTGAGGTAGTTTACAGAAAATACTGTGTTCTTTATTGGTTCTATTAATGTCAATCTTGATTCTAAGGAAAGACAAAGCAATACCTGGATAGAAAGGATTGTCCTTTCTGTTTATCAGAAGAAATGTACTGTGTTTTTTATCCGAGAATGTCTGCTATGAATCATCTGAACATGGAAACTATGAATATGAGAAATTCTCTTTTAGAAAAAAAAGTTTGGGGTAGGGGGGAAACATTTTGAAGGGGATGTGTGAAACAACTGGCAGGATTATCTCAGGAAGTGTAGCAAAACTGTTCACCTCAACTTCTATTCTATGATTATATTTTTTCCCTGTGGTGTCTTTGCACTGTGTCTATAATGGACAGTAGTAGAACTTGTTGGCTTTTACTGCCCTGTGATGAAATATGCTTTGTTACACTCAACTGAAAAATGTTCATGACATCTATGGCTGAGACCTAGGTGGATGGTGGCTGTGCTTACATGTTGTTTGATTTTAGTATTTATTTTTTTTTATTTCTTACCAGAGTGCCCGAAGAAGCCCATATGTTTTTCTTGTAGGTTTACTTGTTGAGTCAGTGTTTCACAGAATGTGACTTTTGCCTTTCATAAAGTTGAGCTTGCAGGTGAGATAAGGGGGTTTGCACATCTGGAGGCCCTCAACAAAAAGTAAATTTGGATTCCATGTTACTTATCTCTGATGCTTTCATTACTTTCAAAGAGTTTCCATTGTTCCTGGAGGTTAATATATTTACCAAAGTTATCAAAGCTTTCAGTTTTAGCTACAGATTTTTCTTTGGGGAGGAGAAATGTAATCAAAGGACTGATATACCATAAAATAAAGAAAATATTAAGTTTAAGTAGGATATACAGAAATAATGTATCATGTCTGTTCTTGTTTACATAAGCATGGGGAATTAAATATTTTAAAAAAGGGGGTATTAGATTTAGTTTTGCCACATCATTAGGATAAAATTAAAGATGTATTTAAGAATTGAAGATGTTAATAGTACATGCATGACAACTAGCAAAATAAATAGCAAGCAAAGAGAATGAGATTAATTTAATGTTATGTTCCTACTTATTGATAGAAATTCTATAAGGAAGAGTAAGTGCAATGTGTCTGAATTACATAACATCAATGAATCTGACAACTATCTTATACTAACTCTTATAGCTGTGAAATCTACAACAAAAACAATGAAAAAGAATCCAATATATTTTCTAAACTAAGGAATTAATTTAATATTTTGGTTAACTAGTAAAGTGAAGTGGTGTGGGTGGTGGGAGTCTTAAGAGACTGTAGAATGAATAAAGCTGAAAGTTGTATTTTGATTATAGTCCTCACTTGCTAGCTATCTGTTGGCACGTACTCACTGATACTAAGGATAGTTTTAGTTAAGATATGTGGCAAGTATTGTCTTCATCCTTAGTATGTTGTTTTCCATCCAGTTTCCCTTCCTTAATATTGCACTGAACTTTCTCAGGTGATACACAAGACAGTGTGTCCCCAGCCTTTCTGTACTGCCTTTGTTCTTTGGTAAACTCAGAAAAAAACACATTATTTTTATGTTTTCTGTCATTTTGAAAGACTCTTGTTGAGGGTGAATGTAATAATTAAAATTGGAAAAAAGTGGTTTTGGAGTAATAAAAAAAGGTTCTGTAGGGCATAGGATGTAGTACCTATAGCCAGTAACTAGTGCATACACCCTGCCTGCAAGTGTCAAAAGTGGTGTGAAGTTCAGGACATGCAGATTGACATAGTTAATATTCTGAAGGTAAATCAAATTATATTTGCACACAGATGCATAGAGTCATCAAATTATTTGGGTTGTAAGTGACCTTTTAAAGGTCAGTAGTCCAACCCCTTTGCAGTAAGCAAACCTGACCTTGAATGTTTCCAGGGATGGGGCATCTACTACCTCTCTAGTCAACCTGTTCTGGTGTCTCACTACCCTCACTGTAAAAAATTTCTTCCTTGTCCAAATCTACTGTCTTTTAGTTTAAAACCATTACCCCTGTCCTATAGCTACAGGCCCTGATAAAAAGTCTGTCCCCATCTTATAAGTTCCCTTTAAGTATTAAAAGGCTGCAATAAGGTTATCCTGGAGCCTTCTCTTCTCCAGGATGATCAATCCCAAGTCTCTCAGCCTGTCTTCATACCAGAGGTGCTCCAGCCCTCTGATCATCTTTGTGTCCCTACTCTGGACTCGCTCTGACAGCTCCATGCCCTTCCTGTGTTGGGGACTCTAGAACTGGACACAATACTTTAGATGGGGTCTCACATGAGTGAAGGGGGAAAATCAGCTCCCTTGAACTGCTGGCCATGCTTCTTTTCATGCAGCCAAGATATCACTTACTGCTTTCTAAATCTGAGAGATTCAGTACACCTATGTAAGTGTAAACTGTTAGATAGAATCACTTCTTGAAAGAGTCTGCAACTTTAGTTATTGATTGTTACAGTTAGTTACTAAGTGTGACAGAGTTAGGTGCAGCCATAATGACAGAATACTGGAATGAGTATGTTAAGGAATTTAATTCTCTTTTAACTATCCATAAGGAAGGGGATTGTTTGTTTTATTTCTTCTATTTTTGTAGGATATAACTGTGTCCAGCTGATGGCTATTATGGAACATGCATACTATGCCAGTTTTGGTTATCAGGTCACAAGTTTCTTTGCAGCATCAAGGTAGGTTTAAATACTTAAGCATTATAAACCTGAATGTTGTGGTTTTGTTTCTGACTTGGTGAAGCTCAAGGGACAACCAGGCTGAATTTAGATATATAGGGAATTTTACCTGGCTTAATTAGTTGAAAGAAATAAGTCAAACACAGGAGACAAAAATCTTTCTTTAAAAACAACTTGGAAAGTAGAGTCGTACCTAAAACACATAACTAAGCAAGACAGCAGCAGATGTTGTGTTTAGTGGACTTTCATGAATGTACGTTTACTTTTGTAATAGTTATGGATTACTTCAGGTCAGTAATATAAATATATTCTCATTTCTTACAGAGTAAGGAAGCATTCAATGTTAAATAGAAGCTTTAAGTTGTGTCAGTTAACTTTTGAACTGAATTTGATGTATTAACAGATTAAAAGAGAAGAATATAACTTTGAAACTAGTTCTGCAAAACGTTGTATGTTGTGATTTTAATAATTGCCAGTTTGTTACCAATAGCTGCTACTTAAGAGGCTGAAGAAGTAACCTGTGTACAACTGGAAACTGGGTGCTGAAGTACTACTGACATTAGTGTATTTTCTATGCGTATTATTCAGTATTGTCTGCTTAAGTTCAGATTGTACTACCTGTAACACATTACATTTTCATGCTGATAGCCGCTATGGAACTCCAGATGACCTGAAAGAAATGATTGACGTTGCTCACTCAATGGGGATCACTGTTCTGCTGGATGTTGTGCACAGCCATGCATCAAAAAACTGTGAAGATGGTCTCAACAACTTTGACGGTACAGATTCTTGTTTCTTCCATTCTGGTCCTAAGGGAACTCATCAGCTTTGGGACAGCAGGCTCTTTGACTATGCAAAGTAAGTGTAAAATGTAGCTTCAAGTGTATTTGTGGTGTATTTCGTTGCAGTTTTAATAAACTAAGTTGTTTACCAAACTGGAAAAGTCATTTGAGTTGTTCAAGAGTTATGATATGCTGAGTTAAATTCCTTTACTTAACACTTAAGATCTGAGACTAAATAATAGTATTTAGGTTTTGTTTTTTTTCTGTCATCTATGCATATGCACATATATGCTATGTGCATTGTATGTATTATTGAATTACATTATGTAGTTAAGTATTAGAATTATTTTTATTTTTAAATAGATAAAAATTTTAATATATAAACACCTATTTAAATGTTATGCATATGCATTACATATAGTTAAATAGTTAGATTTCATAATATACCTTATATTTTTATTTTCTATATAGGAAATATTTATATAAATAGGTAAGATAAGCTGAAGAAAAACTTGCAAACTCTGGAAATTTCTTGTCAAACTGCCAGATTGTTGAAATGTAGCAAAGGTTTTGCCCCAGGACAGCTGACTCTCCATTCCGAAGAGCTTCCAGGGTTTTAATACAGAGCAGGGGTAATTTTCAGTAGGCGGTTTTAGGGACCCAGTTTGAGCACACTTAATTAACTAGTAAAAATAATGGGTGTCAAAACTATGTGTTAATGACAGGTGATGATTTGTGTTTAATATTGTTTACTTTGTATTCTCTGAGGTATGGGGGTGGGGGAATTTATCATGTATGCAGAATATTTCAGTGATTGAAATAGAGAAAAATACATGTGTAGTCTCTTTCTTGCATTTTTTCCATGTTTGTTCATTCCTGAACCACCTCAATTTCAACCCCTTTCTTGTCTTTGATTCTTCCCCAAATGCCACTCACCTCTTATATGATGATAAACTTGCTTTTTTCACCTTTGAGATGCATCTTGTTAGTCCTTTTCATCAATTATAAAGTTCTGATTTAAACTTCTCAAGGTTATGCTGGAGTGTTTACTTCAGTGGCTCATTACTCAGTGACTGGGGAGTTTTGGTCTCTTGTTAATCTATTATTTGTTAGAATTTATGTACTTCAAGTTCAATTTAATGGTTTTTTTTTCTCACACTTGTATTAAATTATCATTAACTGTATATGGTATGTTGCAGATGTCCTTAAACCTCAGATCAGAATTAGGTATGTTCAGTTACTTGCCAAAAAAGGTTTTTCTTCTGTTTGTGGTCTACACTCTTGGCTGACAACTTCATAGCTAAGGAAGGTTGTAACTGTTTAAAAAGGTCACTATTACAGAAATAATGTTACATAGCATAGATCAGCTGTTTAATGGAAACTCTTGCACTGCAACTCACAATTTCAATTAAACCAATTTACTAGTGTAGCAAGTGACTTATACCCTATATTACTCAATAGGATGAGCTGTTCTTTATTTACTTTTTTATTTGGGACAGCTTAAGTGATTAATTCAGTGGTCCTTTTTGAATTATTGTTTTAATTATTATAACAGATGTGTTTTACTATGTACAATCATAATAATTTCCTGTTTGAGTTGCTTCCTATCAATCTTTAAGTTAATATTCAAATAAATTATATTTCAGATAAAGCTTTAGTATCAATACAGTGATATTTCACATCTTATTTCACATTTTATGCTTATGTGTAGTCAACAAGTGTATGATACCAACTTCTCTAGTAGAAAAGTAAATTTAACGTGATTATGGATCTTTCTCTGTTCCACAGAGGCAGGTTCTTCCTATTGGGAAATAAAGTGGTACAGAGTGTTTTGGAGTATTTTTAAATTAAAGAAACAGCAGGCTGCTTTCTAGGTAGCACTTGTTATAATGTTAAGCATTTATTCATGACTGAAGAACTTCCTAAACACAAGTCTCTTTGTTCAGTGATATGTGCTGTAGTTGTTGGGGAGGGACACTGCCTGCATAGTTACTTTTCTTCCTGTGTAATTGGAATATATGCCAGACTGAATGCCAGGAAGGGGGAGGTGAAAGAGCTTTGAGGTGGGGAGAAGAGATGAGGAAATAGCAGAGACCAGAGAAATTGAATCTGTGCTCCACCAGTGAGTAAAAGTAATACCCCGGATGACTGAGGGTCCCTCCTGCGTCATTCCCCACCTCCTGCCCTCTAGTGAAGTACAACAACAAATTTAAAACTTTTAAAAAAACTTTTAGGGAATTCTCTCCTTTCCCTTCAAGAACAGCAAGCTCTGCAGTGAACTGTTTTAGTCATTAAGAGCTTCTTTAGTCCTAACACCTGAAACATTAAATACTGTAAGTGTATTTACAGTCAAATTTTAAGGCTTAAAAGATATAACAATCATGTTTATTTCAAGTTGCTTAGAACTGAATAAAAAATGGTTTGTTTTTTTTCCTCATTTTTTTTTGTGTGTACAAAACTGGGAAAGTATTAGAACTGACATCTTATTAAAAATGTTATTTTTTTCCATTAAGAGTTTATTGACATGCCTACTAATTTCCATACCAGTAAATGAGCAGCTGTAGTCTGAAAGAGATTATAAAAATCCATGAGAGACTCTAGTTGCTTGCAGATGGTCAAAGTATGCTGAAAATAAATGACACCAAGCACAATCTATTGACAGATAAACAGAAAAAGTTACTTTCTGAGACAAGTCTCTTCAGCTACTACATCTTTCCCTCCTGCACAGTGCTTGTACTAAATCCCTTTTCTATAATGGGAAGAACTGTTTAATCTACAAGTACTTCAAATACGAAGAATGCTCTATTTATTTTTAAATCTTTACTTTGGAATTGAGAGAAACTAATGCTCTGCCATGAAACAGATTAAGAAACACTTGCTTTATCAGTTTAGTTTCTCTACGTTTTCTTTGAAAGCCGAAACAGAAGTAAATTTGTCTCTCAGCATTTGCAAGGTTATTCAGTTATCTGGGAATGGAACTGCTAATACTTGCTATAAGAGAAGGTAGCAAAAGATCTATAGACATGCAAAAAAAAAAAGTACTATATCCATGATGTATTTTAAATACTATATTTTTTTTAGTGATATTCATGTAGAGCTCCAAGGAAAGCAGTAGTAAGACTTCTCAAAGGACGACCTCGATTTTGCATCTCTAGCACCATAGTGCAACTTAAGTAGATAAAAACGTGTTGTGTTGTGGACTTTGAGATTACACTTACTGAGCAGAAAAATTGTATTTTTTTTAAATCCATGTTAATACAAGTGTTATACAAACAGTGAACTTTCTGATAATCCTAAACAGCAGCTTAAAGATTTTGCTGTTTAAGGTGTTGTCACATGAAAAAAAAATAAATCTCAATTTCAGTAAAATGAGAATTTGGAGATAAAATGAGATAAGTAAAATAATATTTTCTTTTTATTTCAAGAGAAATGATAAATACTGCTTTAAAAAACCCAACAAAAATCTGTTTCAAAAATAAACTTCCACTTTCAGAATTTTGGCATATTTTCGTAGGTTTTCTAACCTGGGCAGTTTCTTCCTTAAAAGTATTAGTCTGGTGAATTTCCATCTCCATACCCTCATGGTCATCCCCATGTCTGTGTGTCTTCCCCTCCCCCCCACCTCATCTGCAAACCCCAAAAGAGGAACCAATAAGTCTGAGTGAAGATTGTAGTTTATTTTAACAATTCTTCTCACAATCAAACTTTTATATCCTTTGTTTGGGTTCTTGTTGAAAATGTGGCTTTTGTATCCCTGAATTAATGAATGAGAGATGCTGAAATGTAAAAAGGATGCCACAAACTCTGGATCTGTAGCCTAGCTGGCACTGTCTAATTTTGTGGCAACTTAAGTTCCTTGTCTCTGTTGTAAACCTGTTTATGATACTTGCCCCGAAATACATTAAAACATCCTCCAATCTTAAGTAAGGATTTTGCTTGCAATTAATTTAGCACAAGCCAAGTGTATCAATTTTTCCTTCCTGAAGTCATATTTGAAGATTTGAAGCTGCCAAGTTCATTAGAAGTGATGCTTTAGACTCTGGAGACCAGGTGGGATCACAACTAGAGTGGTTGATTGTGTTTTGATTTAAATTCATTTCTTCATATGTGTCTAACATACTAATCAGGCAAAAAAATTTAAAAGAATTGAGAACATATTACCTAGCAAAGATATGTTGACAGGGTTTTTAAGCACTGCATAATTAAAATTTGTGAATGCTGCTGCCTTTCAAGGCTTAAGTTCTGTGAGCATTGTTTTCATTTTTAAGGCTCTCTATTCCTTCCTCTTCTCACTAAGCTTTGTTAAGAGTGTACTCTTAATCCAATTCTAAGGGACAGTAGGTATACTGATACATTTCTCTGAGCCCTTAGGAATAATGGTAGAAGTCAAACTCAGCAGAAATTGTGTAATGCCATAAGTTTTATTTCTGGTTTGTCTTTTTTTTTTTTTTTTTGGTACTGTGACCCTTCTGATCTAGGCATTTTGGCTAAAATTTTAAGTACTTGCTCAATCTAAGAGAAGAATTTGGCACAGAAGTCAGAAATTGAGCTACGTTCTGGTTTTAGTTACTGAGTTACTGCTTTCTTGAATATAGCAGTATGATCAGCAAGAAGGGATATTAGTTACAAGCTTGGTTCTGGGGCCAGTAGACATCACTGGCATATCTTTTGAGGCTTTTTATTTTAGCGGCCTGTTTTCAATGTGGTTTTGTTTTTGTTTGTGGTTTTCTTTTTAGACTTATGTGTCCATACTTTGGTTCTTCTGTGAAGGCACTAAATCATAACTAGTGGGTATCTTTGGCCTGTCCACCTACAGGTTTTATCTTGTTTGTATTTTTGATACTACTACTCTGTTTTGGGAATAAAGACCTGTAAGTGCTGTAGAGGAAGTTTACTTAAGCCATGTAATGGGAAAAATTTCTTCTGTAATCTTTTCTTCCTCCTTCAATTTTAAGAAGTCTCAAGTGACATCCATGCCAAACATGCTTTGAAATGGTAGGGTTCACAGTATAAAGGCTGTGTCCCACAAGCCACAGTTTACATCAGGGCAACAGATGACATGCTGGTCCCCTGCTG